CAGGATTAGGAGGGGTTAATGTGAGTGTGGCTGGGTGACAGTGTGGGGGCAGTGTGTGGGAAGGTCAGGGCCATCTTTAATATTGATTGGTGCCTGGGCAAGCATTTGCTGGGGGCCCCATGGACCTTGTCCCCCATCTTGCCACTCCCAGGCATGCATCCAGTCTAACACAGTGGCGGAACTAAAGTAGAAAGGACCCTGACGCAATAATTGTTTAGGGACCCCATTGCAATAGTGGCCAAAAGGTAGCTCTGTATCTACTTTAACAATGCTTTGACAGATGAGGCTCTACCATTTTCCCATGCTTGCAGGGTTGTATATAGCACTAAGCAGTGTTTGTGTATTTGAATGTTAGCATGTTTTTGTATAAAGTATGTTTGTGTGAATGTAGTCTTGTTTAGCATTTGATGTTGACATTTTTTTTTTTTATATTTCAGACATATACCTGGCTTATGTAGTTCACTTAATGCTTCTATCTTTTAGCCTCAGAATTCTTGACTTCATTAATATGTCCTCCCCATCCATTTCTTTTCTTTGTATAAATCTGTTCCGTTCCATGTTGATTATTAAATAAGGGGAAAAAGGACACCATAGGAGATGAGTACTAAAGTTCTAATTATTCCCTTCCCCCCCACCCTTACCTTTCTAACTTCCTGTTCTAGCTTCTACATTATTGATCTGTTTTGCCATTTATTTATTTTTTTGGAGAGAGAGAACACCTTGTTTTGTGTACTGTTAAATTGTTCATTATTCTATCTTGTAATGTTTGCCCGTTACTTGGGATCTTCGGGGTCATTTTAGTTATTCCGTTTATCTTACCATTTCTTGGGATATGGAATCTAGTTTATGGAGCCATATGTCCCAGTCTTCTATCTGGGTGTATCTGTTTCCCAAGTTCGTTAATATGTCCCTTTCCATTTTTGCTTGCCGTATCACTTGATTTATTACTTCCTGAATATGTGGAATTATCACCATTTTCCAGTTACGTGCTAATAAGAGTTTAGCTGCCTTGATGGTATGTATTATTACCATACAAAAAATACACACAAGGTAGGTATAGAGATAGAGAAACCCCTAAACTTACAAGTGAGGTTTCAGTGCAGCGTTGTGTATTAATAATTTTTTAGACTCACCCTTTAGGAATTTATTATTGGGTGATAACTCCCTTGGATGCCCGTCAACACTGGAACAGGATCAGCTTTCTTTAAATGCACAAATGTGCTGTTTATTAAAAAAAAAAAAAAAGTAAAAAAACTAAAATACAATATAAAAGATAAACAGAATAAAATACTAAAGTAAAGCTAGATCCTCAGAGACTCGTTTCTCCTATGTTCATAGGCTTTTTCAATCGGTCATTGATATTGACAGAAACGCGTCTCGGAGGATCTAGCTTTATTTATTATTACTTATTAGTATTTTATTAGTATTTTATTCTGTTTATCTTTTGTATTGTATTTGTACTTTTTTTACTTGTTTTTTAATAAACAGCACATTTGTGCATTTAACCCCTTAAGGACCAAACTTCTGGAATAAATGGGAATCATGACATGTCACACATGTCATGTGTCCTTAAGGGGTTAAAGAAAGCTGATCCTGTTCCAGTGTTGCCTGGTATCCAAGGGAGTTGTCACCCTTAATTGACACAAGCTTCTACACTTAGAACCAGTTTGGAAGGCTCCAAGCCAGGTGAGCACATTCTATACTATCAGTATTACACCATGTGTTCAAAACTGTCTACACTTAGTATATGTATTCCCATCCTTCTTCTTTTTTGGAGAATATATAAAAGAAAAATACTGTCAACCTACTAAGAAGATCTAAAGGGGTTGTATGCTACCTAAAAACATAGGCTCCAAACTTTTCAGCAGGTATTTCTAAAGGCTCCTTACCATGTGAGTTTGCCACCATTTGTTTCTCTTTTCTCCACTATTTTTTGTCAAAACTATTTTGCACTATATATTTCTATTTTTTCTTCCCCTTATCCATATATATTCGAGTCGAATCACCCAATAAGAAATTCCTAAAGGGTGAGTCTAAAAAATTATTAATACACAGCGCTGCACTGAATCCTCACTTGGAAGATTAGGGGTTTCTCTATCTCTATACCTACCTTGTGTGTTTATTTTGTTTTGTGACTAGTGGGTGGTTTTGGAGCACTCACACAGTGTTCAAGCTGCTATACCACACATTGCTCTAAAAGTAAGTGCCTATATTTCGCACATTTGTTTTCTGTATGTATTATTACCAGTTGTTCTTTTTTTGGCATTTTGGGCCATTTTAAGTTTAGTAAAAATACTTCAGGTTTAAAACTCATTTTCATTCAGGTTATTTGACCTTCGCTACATTCTTCCAGTATTGATTTATCGGAGTGCAATGCCACCAACTGTGGATCAGATTACCTTCATTGTTATTGCATTTCCAAAATCTATCAGATATCTATGGAAAAAAAATCTATTTAGACGTTTGGGTGTCATATACCATCTGTTGGCAAGTTTGAATTGTGTTTCTGTGAGGTTTAGACAAGTGTATGTGTTTATATACTTTGTTTCGGGAACTTTTCCACTCCTCTTCTTCTATAGAAACATGCAGTTCTTTTTCCCATTTGTTGATCAATCCTATTGGTTTATCATGCCTCCATCCGTATATAACTTTAACACATTTTGCCATTAGATTTTTATAATTCTTTACATCCAGAAGATGTCTAAGTTTTAGGTTTTTCTCCTCCTTGTTTTTAGCTAGATATTCTGAGATAAAGCCCTTAATTCTTAGGTAGTTGAAAGTTTCATTTCCGGAAGTATTAAATTCCTCCACCATTTGCCTAAAGGGTTTGATTTTATTCTCCACCATTATGTTCTCAATTTCCTTGATCCCCCAGTTTCCCAGGTGTCTATTTTTATGTTTTCTAGCATATCTGAAATCACAGAAATTGGGAGCGCCTCTATAATTTTGTTTCCAAAGCCTATGTTAAACGTTATTTTATCCCACCATCTTGTTAAATCTATGAGTATCTGTGATTTACTCCGTGCATCTTTGATCACTTTTTTGTTCAGGTCTAAAATCAAAAATAATGATGACAGATTGCTTACTCCTGTTTTTATTTTTTCCATACTATACCAAATTTCTTTGGTAGCCATATTCTTTTGGGTGAGCAAAATGTGAAAAAGTCTACTTGCCATGTAGCTTTGCATTATCTCTGGACACCCCAATCCTCTGTCTTGTTTTGACCTAGCTAAGTTTTTTATTTTCACCCTAGCTCTTTTTCCTCCCCACACGAATTTACAGAACGATGAGTGTAGTAATGCTAACCAGTTTTCTGGAAAGTTCAGAAGTATCATTCTCCATAGGTATAACCATTTTGGCAAAATGTATGTTTTAAAGATATCGATTCTACCTGACCAATAGAATCCTAATCCTTTCCAATCCTTTAGTTTTTTTATTTGTTTGTTTTAATAGCGGTAGAAAGTTTGCTTCAATTAAGTCTTTTAAGTCTGGAGTTATCATTATGCCTAAATAACTCAGCCTGTCTTTATTCTATGGGAATAAACAAAAAAGTTAGTTACTCTTTTTTCCACATTTTTAACCATATAGTTTGTGTTACGGTACCTTCAGCATGAAATGTACAAACCGCCGTTTAGTGAATGCTCCCCGTTCGCAATAATGTAGGCTATAAGCGTATCCAATACTGTGATGGGATTCCAGCATGGTCAAAATTTAGTAGGCCAAAATCTCCATGTGGCATATGTGTATGTTGTGTCAATTAGTTAGCTACACGTAGCTAGGATACTGTCATCAGTGTACTGAGCATGTGCAGGAATGCAGGAACTGAAATTGCACTTATTTCCTTTGTCTTGGATGAGCCATGTTGTTTGACTAGATGTACAAGTCTATATTCTGCTCACTGATTGGTCTGAGGAATATAGGAGGGGTTATACTGTATGGGAGGAGATATGCAGTTAACAAAAGACCCAAGCCCCAGGTATTTGTCCCTCAGAATTTTGGAACAAGAGTTCATCTGAGACCCGATCGGTAATGTGAATAAAGGCCTCTTACTTCCTGAAGACTTGTGTCCATATCTCTGTGTTTGGCTTCTGCATGCTTACACTGCAACATTTCTGGTGCAATTGGTCCGGGAACCTCATCGCATGGAAGCTGGCGCAGAGATTTGAGACGGTAAACTTTTATCAAACCCTCTACGCTGCACCCCTGGAGTTCTACTGCGTGGACATCCCTTCATCTCGGCGCCACTGGCCTTTTGTCCAGGAGATCATCGGTTTCTGAGCAGTGAGTACCGGGGTGTTCCGTCGTTGAGTGTGAACCCAGGTCCAGGAACTAACAGGTAAGACTGATACCGATAGAGCGGTAGGCCCACAAGGGGTTTGTATTTGGAATTGGTTTGGTTGTATGGAATCTGCCCTGTCCTAAGGGATGGAAGAAGCAAAGGCGCACTGCTTATGTTGACATTAGACGCTCTGTAGTCAGCCCGTCTAATACTGTGGTTTGGGTCAGACTGAGTTCTGGTATAAATAGCTCATGTCGGACACCGGTGTCCTGTCTTGACTAGCATATCTAGGGTGTAAATTCTGTTCGCTAGGTCGGGGAGACTGGGAGACTAGCAGAATTTGGTGTACATTCCGTCTGCTAGATCTCACCCTATCTTGGCTAAGTGGTAGGCGTGTAAATTCAACCGCTAGACCTTTGATAGCGTAAGAAGACTAGCTGGGTACTGTGTAAATTCCGCCCACTAGTTCGCTATATGTGGTGCTTGGGCAACGTAGACTAACCGAACCTTGGTGTAAATTGTTCTATAGTTCTCGAGGTGCTGGCCAATTAGAATAGTTGGGATTATTGTAAATGTTGTTAAATATATTGTAGTTGGTGAATTGGTTAATTTGTATGTCCTACTAGAAAGTTAGAGCTCTGCTGTCTAGTGGGAGTGTAAATTGTGTGTATAACTGTAAAATAGCGCATGGTACCATAACTACTGACATGTACCATAACCACTGATATTGTGTAAAAATTACTAACAATTGCTGTTTTATGTTATATGTATAATACCATAACTGTTACTAACTGATCTGTGACTTTAAAACTGTATTATAACCACTTACTAACTGTACCATAACCACTGACTGTAAAGATGAGGTTACTAGAATGTGATATAGTTGGTTAGTCAAAAGTTGATTTATAGTACGGATAATTGTAGAGATGAAATTGTTGAAATGTTATGTGATCGGTTAGTTTATATGGATTAATAGCGTAGATAGTTGTATGGTTTGAATAATAGTTACATTGATAAGTGTATAGTCTTTGGTGGGTTTTTGATTTAATTTTGTGTGTGCGACGTCGTGATATTGTTGAGCATATGAGGATCCTGTTGTGTGTGCATGCATGTGTGTGTTTGGCCCTAGTGACTGTGCGATGTGGTGCTGGTGATAAGGAGATTGGTGTGACTGTTGAAACTGTGTGTATATTTGTACAGCTTTTTGAATCAGACGTTCTGTTGAAATAATCTTCGGATTCACAAGGCTGTTGGTCCTTTGTCTTGTATGTTTAAAAAAAAAAAAAAAAAGTAGGGAGTAGCCTGTCCTGGTGGCTGCATGGCCTCCATGTGGCAGTCTTCACTTAAATTTAGTGCAGGGTGTACATGTGGCTGTAACTAGTAGGCCGGAATTCTATGATCAGTTTCTATATATTGACTGTTGGAAACTGATTGTTGAAAAACTGCCTTGGTGAATTAAACTGTCATATAAGAAACAATGTAGCCATATGGTGGTCAGAACTAAGGACTTAATTACAACTGCTTTGGACATCCCCTCCCCGCCTGGCATCTGATTAGCAACCCCCTATTCATCCACCAGAGCCAGAGTAGCCACGCCCCCTATTCTTCCTCCCAAAATTGGTATAGTTGGTATTTGCACTCCCCCTGCTCTACTGTCCCCGCCTACCCACATACCTATCTGTTCTTTTGTTTCAAACTCTTGTATTTCTGTACTGACCCCCCTCCCCCGAATCAAGATGGTATATTGTATTTTTTTAGTTACTGGATGGGGCCCTCCCAGCTTTGTCCAAAATGTCCCCTTTTACTAAAATACAAACTGAGATGTTTAATTTACCTTAGAACTAAAGATTTAATCACGCCTAGATATCAGGGTGGACAGTGATTAAAATAAGTAATAATAAAATAGGGACATAATTAATTAAAGTCTATTTGCTTCATTAGACTTTAGGGAGGCACTCTAGGGCCACCTACTGGCCATCTTCGGGAGTTACATTGATAATACATTGTTTATAACAGATAGAAGTAGGATTGCTTACCCTATTTTAATATATTTATTGCTACAAGGTTTTATTTTATGTATAAATATATTAAAAGTTAAGTTTCATTATTAGACCCATAAAGATTATTTTGATACAATTACCCTCTGATGACACCTACTGGTAGGTTTTTGGTTTAACACTTTAAAAAAAAAAAAAAAAAAAAATTTCATCCACCAAATGCTGACTAATAAAATTAGCTCACCCCCTTACACCTATCTTACTACTCCCAGACTGGAACTTATTATTGAGCAGCCTTGCCGAAGTCCCATATTAACCCGACAACTGACTGGTGCCCTCCAACCCAGACATTACCAAATGCCCCTCAGACTTACACCAGGCCCAACACACGTGGATGAGAATGGCCAAATACAACGGGCAGATCCAGTGTTTGTATATGTCCCCTTCACTACGACTGATTTATTTAACTGGAAGACTCATAACTCTTCATATACTGACGAACCTCAGGTTATGACAGATTTGGTTACTTCTATTATCCAAATGTCGATCCAAATTGAAACGTGAATGGTGCTGACATGCCCCAACTAAGAGCTTATCATGAAGCCATAATTGCTAGCATGAAGGCAGGAGGGAAGAAGGCAATTAATATGTCAAAGACGGCTGAGGTGTTGCAAAAGGTTGATGAGTCACCTAGTGCTTTTTATGAGAGACTGCTTGAGTCAAATAGATTGTACACTCCTTTCAATCCTGAAGCCCCTGAAAACTTCCGAATGATAGACTCAGTATTTGTCAGCCAGGCCCAGAGCGATATTAAGAGAAAGCTACAAAAATTAGAGGGATTTGTAGGGATGTCCATATTACAGCAAATGGAGATTGCAAATAAAGTATATATGAATAGGGAGATGGAGGTAAAGCGGGAGGAAGAACGTAAGATGAGGAAAAAGGCAGATATGCTAGCGGTAGCTATCTCAAGTGTAGAAAGACAGGGAAGTGAATAGAGGAGACGAGAATAGGCTGAGCAAGGGACCTTTAAGTAGGAATCAATGTGCGTATTGTAGAAAGGAGGGACATTGGAAGAGTGAGTGTCCACAGAGAGAGCAGTATGAAGGTGATAGACAAGGAGAGAGAAGGGTATGAGGAGGTTATAGTGGTAGTTATAGAGGAAGAGGAAGTTTTAGAGGGAATGATGGGAATAGTAGAGGAAGTGTTCAAGGAGACAGATACTATCCACCCACACAGAGACCTAGAGAAAGAGAGGATAGAGATTTTGTGGGTCTGGCTGACACTATCATGGAAGACTATTGATACCGACCGGGCTCCATCCCACTTGGTCAAGCGGAGCCTATGGTCGATGTAGCAATAGGGGGAAATAGAAGTTCTTTTATGACCGACACAGGTGCTGAACATTCTGTGGTTACTAAGATGGTGGCTCCGCCTTCGGGGAAGACTATAACTGTGACAGGAGCTACTGGGAAAAGCGCTGCTAGACCGATTCTCAGGAGTTGTACTTGCATTCTGGGAGGCCATGTGGTGAAGCACCAGTTCCTATATATGCCTCAGTGTCCAATCCAACTTCTAGGATGAGATCTATTATCAAAGCTTTAAGCTCAGATAACCTTTTACCTAATGGATCAACATCTCTGCAGTTTAAGGGATTACCAGGCATAATGGCGATATCGGTGCCAAGGGAAGAAGAATGACGCTTCTATTCCATAGTGACAAGTGTTAACCCTAAGAGTGATGAATCCTTATTTGACATTCCAGGAGTATGGGCAGAAAATAATCCTCCAGGACTTGCTCGTAATATCCCACCAATACATATTGAGTTAAAGCTCGGGGTGTATCCTGTTAGCCTTTGTATGTTGTTCTTTTATCTACCCCAACAGCTGTAAAGGTGGCGGAAGTGACTATTAAGAGAAATAGAGCGATATTAAGAGAAAGCTACAAAAATTAGAGGGATTTGTAGGGATGTCCATATTACAGCAAATGGAGATTGCAAATAAAGTATATATGAATAGGGAGATGGAGGTAAAGCGGGAGGAAGAACGTAAGATGAGGAAAAAGGCAGATATGCTAGCGGTAGCTATCTCAAGTGTAGAAAGACAGGGAAGTGAATAGAGGAGAGGAGAATAGGCTGAGCAGGGTACCACTAGGTAGAGATCAATGTGCGTATTGTAGAAAGGAGGGACATTGGAAGAGTGAGTGTCCACAGAGAGAGCAGTATGAAGGTGATAGACAAGGAGAGAGAAGGGTACGAGGAGGTTATAGTGGTAGTTATAGAGGAAGAGGAAGTTTTAGAGGGAATGATGGGAATAGTAGAGGAAGTGTTCAAGGAGACAGATACTATCCACCCACACAGAGACCTAGAGAAAGAGAGGATAGAGATTTTGTGGGTCTGGCTGACACTATCATGGAAGACTATTGATACCGACCGGGCTCCATCCCACTTGGTCAGCGGAGCCTATGGTCGATGTAGCAATAGGGGGAAAGAGAAGTTCTTTCATGATCGACACAGGTGCTGAACATTCTGTGGTGACTAAGATGGTGGCTCCGCCTTCGGGGAAGACTATAACTGTGATAGGAGCTACTGGGAGAAGTGCAGCTAGACCGGTTCTTAAGAGTCGCACTTGTATTCTGGGAGGCCATGTGGTGAAGCATTAGTTCCTATATATGCCAGAGTGTCCGATTCAACTTTTAGGACGAGATCTATTATCGAAGCTTTAAGCTCAGATAACCTTTTACCTAATGGATCAACATCTCTGAAGTTTAAGGGATTACCAGGCATAATGGCGATATCGGTGCCAAGGGAAGAAGAATGACGCTTCTATTCCATAGTGACAAGTGTTAACCCTAAGAGTGATGAATCCTTATTTGACATTCCAGGAGTATGGGCAGAAAATAATCCTCCAGGACTTGCTCGTAATATCCCACCAATACATATTGAGTTAAAGCTCGGGGTGTATCCTGTTAGCCTTTCTATGTTGTTCTTTTATCTACCCCAACAGCTGTAAAGGTGGCGGAAGTGACTCCTTGGATTCATCATTCTATGGTTAAACCAGCGGCAGACTTTTGGCAAGCTACTCCAGATCCTGAGAATCCTTGCAGGATCCGGTTGAAGCGTGCAACTCAGTCGGGGTGACGAGGGGATATCGAGACATTCTAGTCAAAAGTTTACAGAGATCATCAAGTAGGTGTTTTTGACGGCCATAATAAAGCCTGACCACCTGCCTACATGTCATAGCCAGAGTGTCTTGAAGGGATCTCTGTGAAGGAAAGTGAGGATCAGAAGAACAACATCCTTGCAGCCCTCACAATCGGGAAGCTGAGAGGCCATCGCATGGTCGAAGAAAAATGAGGATTTCAGGAATAATGTGTTTTATTATGTGTCTTAGTATTTTTATGATTTTTCAGGAAGGTAGGAGTACAGACATACCGAATTGCAATAGTTGCATTAAGACTTCTAAAACAGGTAACCAAATATCCCAAACTCTCATCTGGCACTCACAGTATGAATGTAAGGGATCTGTAGCTAAATGTAGATATTTGGATATTGATTATAGTGTGTGCAAGCCAATATCAGGAGAGTCTAAATGTTTCGATCCCCAATTCCAACCCCATACAATTTGGTTGGTAATTCGGAATAGTAATTCCCAGGGAACTTTGATAAATAGGACTGTGACAAGCACCATACATTTCACGAGTATTCTATTATTTGATGCATGTAAGGCGATTTCGGGTAGTGGAAGACCTTGGAATGTATGTGGTAATCTGAAATGGGAACGAACTTATGGGTTTAATGATAAATACTTATGTCCCAGTAAAAGATCTACTGATCCTGACTGCCCAAATAGAGACTTTAACTTCTGCCCCTATTGGTCATGTGTAGGTTGGGCAACCTGGGGAAAAACAGTGGATATGATTATCCAAAGGTTGCCTACCACACCATACTGTAAAACTATGTGTGTAACCCCCGTTCACATGACCATTTCCAATCTGCAGCACTTTATTGACAGGTTCGGAGGTCTGTTTGGGTTCCAAATGTATGGCACAGGAGTAGATCCAGTAACAATAATATATGTAGGTCTTGAAACTGAGACAGTGGCAACTCAAACTCATCAGGTTTTCCATTCCTTTTATGAGGAGATGAGTATTGAGGATTAAATTCCCCATAATGTTAAGAACCTATTTATTGATTTGGCTGAGAGTATTGCGGGTAGTCTTAATGTAACTAATTGCTATGTGTGTGGAGGTACTAATATGGGAGACCAGTGGCCATGGGAGGCAAAGGAAATATGGAACCCTGGCTCTGAGACATATGAACAACAGATACCTTTTCAGTCTGATCATCAAGTAAGTACCAGATGTAAATCAGAGAGGCGGTTAAAAACCTCCATTATAGGTCATGTTTGTATAGCCAGGAAAGGGACAATGTATAACACGTCTGTAGGTGAGCTAACTTGCTTGGGACAAAAAGCCTATAATGTTAATACTAAAAATACTACTTGGTGGTCAGCTTCAAATGTCTCGGAGCCTACTAATCCGTTTGCCAATTACAATCATTTAAAGGAGGTATGGTTTGACTTATCGGCTGCATCTAGTTGGAAAGCCCCAGCAAATTTACACTGGATTTGTGGTTGAAAACTTATTCGGAGTTACCACAAGATTGGGAAGGGGCATGTATATTAGGTATGCCAAAGCCATCCTTCTTCTTGTTGCCAATCGAAACAGGAGAGACCTTGGGAGTTAAGGTTTACAATGTAAATCATAAAAGGGAGAGAGCATCCTTGAATATAGGTAGCTGGGAAGATGATGAGTGGTCCCCTCAACGTATTATTAATTATTATGGACCTGCTACTTGGGCAGAAGATGGCACTTATGGATATAGAACTCCGATATATATATGCTTAACCTGGTAATCCCTTAAACTGCAGAGATTATTAGACTACAGGCGGTAGTTGAACTTATCACTAATGAGACAGCACAAGCGCTTAATCTTCTAGCTAAGCAAAATACCCGTATGCGATCAGCCATATACCAGAATAGGCTAGCCCTTGATTACTTACTAGCAGTGGAAGGAGGTGTATGCGGGAAGTTTAATCTAAGTAACTGTTGTCTGCACATAGATGATGAAGGGCAGGCAGTGGCTGAACTTACAAGCCACATGGTTAAATGTGTGCATGTCTGGAATGGGTATAACCCAAGTAGTTGGTTTGGAAGTTGGTATGAGCAGCTTGGGGGAATTAAGACATTAGTAGGAGGAGTAGAATTTATTATATTTTTTTTTTGCCTCCTCCTGCCCTGTCTAATAACACTAGTGGTCAGGTCCCTACGTAGTATTATAGAGAGTACTATAGAGAGAAAGACAGCTGCCCATGTAATGGCTGTCTGGAAGATATGATCCCCTAGCCCAAAGAGAATATATTCAGGATGAGGAATGTTGAAGGAGTTTTTAAGATGCTTACAAGGTCTACTCTGGTTCAATGGCTACTTGAGAGATGTAGGTAAAACTGTGATTGGTGATGCATCTGGAATAATGTTATATCAGAGGCATCAAAGGGGGGAATGTGAATGGATTCCAGCATGGTCAAAATTTAGTAGGCCAAAATCTCCATGTGGCATATGTGTATGTTGTGTCAGTTAGTTAGCTACACATAGCTAGGATACTGTCATCAGTGTACTGAGCATGTGCAGGAATGCAGGAACTGAAATTGCACTTATTTCCTTTGTCTTGGATGAGCCATGTGGTTTGACTAGATGTACAAGTCTATATTCTGCTCACTGATTGGTCTGAGGAATATAGGAGGGGTTATACTGTATGGGAGGAGATATGCAGTTAACAAAAGACCCAAGCCCCAGGTATTTGTCCCTCAGAATTTTGGAACAGGAGTTCATCTGAGACCAGATAGGTAATGTGAATAAAGGCCTCTTACTTCCTGAAGACTTGTGTCCATATCTCTGTGTTTGGCTTCTGCATGCTTACACTGCAACATTTCTGGTGCAATTGGTCCGGGAACCTCATCGCATGGAAGCTGGCGCAGAGATTTGAGACGGTAAACTTTTATCAAACCCTCTACACTGCACCCCTGGACTTCTACTGCGTGGACATCCCTTCATCTCGGCGCCACTGGCCTTTTGTCCAGGAGATCATCGGCTTCTGCGCAGTGAGTACCGGGGTGTTCCGTCATTGAGTGTGAACCCAGGTCCAGGAACTAACAGGTAAGACTGATACCGATAGAGCGGTAGGCCCACAAGGGGTTTGTATTTGGAATTGGTTTGGTTGTATGGAATCTGCCCTGTCCTAAGGGATGGAAGAAGCAAAGGCGCACTGCTTATGTTGACATTAGACGCTCCCGAACGGTATCCCTTCCCTCCACGAGCTTCAAGCTCACGAACCGTCAATATCAGCTGAACGCCGGTATCTCCCAAGCGGCTGATAATTCCAAATAGCAGTCTCTAGTCGCCGGTAATAAAATCCCCCCAATAACGAGACCAAGCTCCGCATTGAGGGTAAAACACGAACTGAGTTTACTGTGGGCTACCCGCCCGTATTTATGCAGGTCTCCCACTTGGTGGACACTCCCCTAGGGGACCAAATGGGAGACTGGAATAGGAGATGGACATATGGCATTTCAGGACATACAGTCACACAATATTCCCAGCATACATCACAGTTTCCTCCCCTCTGCCCGGGAGATAATTGAGAAGTAATTCAATTATCTCCCAGAGCAGAGGCAAATTGCCATTTTAAATACAAATCATAAAACACATAAAAATATATAACTTTATAACTGCCGAACATTTCTCATTCGTGTAACACATCCCCAGATAGCCTGGATCTGAGTGCATATTATTGGCGAATAGCGCTCAGATCCCATACGCATAGTTCAATCGCCATGGAGTCAAAGTCTATTACAGTTCCTTGGTCTTTCGCATGGTTTAAAATGGCCGCCGCCTCGTGGTCGACATACGAACGACGACCACCCTGTATTCGGTTTTAATTGAGAAGTGTCTGTGGTTAACCGCAACGTTCTAATTGGGATCAATAGGTTAACCAGCAGCACACTTCTCTTCTGGGTGGCCGTCCGTTCGACAGTTTTGTTCGGTAAAAAAGTAAATTATCTTAAATCCAGGCATAAGAATGGGTGAGTTCGTGAAACAAGCAAACAGACAAATCCAGCAATCTTAGTCCATACGGATGGGTCTGTCACACGGCTCCCCCCTTGTGGAACACTCCGGCAGGCCCGGCTTGACCCTTTGGCGGGTCAACTTGGGGATGACCGGACTAGGAAGAAGTAGGGACGTCTGTTTGCCGGGACAACCCATCCGCATTCCCATTCTGCTTACCGGGTCGGTAGCTGATGGTGAAGTTGTAAGGCTGCAGTGCCAAACTCCACCTCAGCAGTCTGCCATTGTCTCCTGAGACCCGGTTAAGCCAGACAAGGGGATTGTGGTCCGTGATGAGGGAAAATTCTTGTCCGTATAAATAAGGGCTCAGCTTCTTCAGTGCCCAGACCAGGGCTAAACACTCTTTCTCCACTGCCGCATAACTCACTTCCCGGGGTAGTAACTTTCTGCTGAGATATGCAACAGGGTGCTCTCCTCCATCTTCCCCGACCTGGCTCAGCACAGCCCCCAGTCCATACATGGAAGCATCTGTATGAACGAGAAAACGTTTGTTAGGGACTGGGGCAGCCAGGACAGGGGCATTTACAAGAGCTTGCTTCAGGGCCTGAAACGCGGCTTCACAAGCTGGAGACCACAGGACCTGCTTAGGTAAATTCTTCTTAGTCAGGTCAGTCAAGGGCTTGGCGACAGTACTGTAGTCGGGGACAAAACGTCGGTAATACCCTGCCGTCCCCAGGAAGGCCAGCACTTGGGTCTTGGTGATAGGTGTGGGCCAGTTAGCTACCGCTTCCACCTTGGCTGGCTCTGGTCTCTGGCTCCCACATCCTACCCTGTGACCCAAGTACTGCACTTCTGCCATGCCTAGATGGCACTTGTCTGGTTTCAAGGTCAGGCCCACGGCCCGAATCTTGTCCAGTACCACCCCTACGTGTACCAGGTGTTCTTCCCAGGACTCACTGTAGACCGCAATGTCATCCAGGTATGCACATGCAAATTCCTGGAAGACATCGAGGAGCCTATCCACCATACGCTGGAAGGTAGCTGGAGCATTCTTCATCCCAAATGGCATGACCTTAAACTGGTACAGGCCAAATGGGGTGACGAATGCCGACTTAGGGATAGCATCCTCGGCCAGGGGAATCTGCCAATAACCTTTACACAGGTCGACGGTAGTCGGGTAGCGCCCCCTGGCAATGCGGTCTAACAATTCGTCTACCCGGGGCATCGGGTAGGCGTCAGTGTTGGTCCGCTCGTTGAGTCGTCTGTAGTCCACACAGAACCGGGTGGTCCCATCCTTCTTAGGCACCAGGACTACAGGGGAGGCCCAAGGGCTGTCTGAGTGCTCGTGACACCAAGCCTGGTCATCTCCTGTATCTCCTTCCGCATTCCTTCTCGGACTGCTTCAGGGATACGGTAGGGGGGTTGTCGTAGGGGATTCTGTCCAGGTGTCTCGACCTTGTGCACAGCTAGGGTAGTGTACCCAGGTTCTTGGGAGAACGTCGCCTGCTTCTCCCACAGAAGCTGTCTTGCCTGTACCTTCTCCGCGGGGCTTAACCGGTCCCCTAGCTGCACAAGACTATTAAGGTCAGTCTGGGGATCCTTCTCTAATAAGTCGGGTAAGGGTAAATTCTCAGGGTCGTCGGCAGCCGGGGCACATACTGCCGCAACATCCTCTGGTCTCTCCTGATACTCCTTCAGCATGTTCACATGAAAGGATCGCTGAATCCTTTCATCTGCACAGCTGGCTATAAGATAGGTAGTATCACATACCTGAGCTAACACTTTATACGGGCCCTGCCAAGATGCTTGCATCTTGTTCATCTTCACAGGCTTGAGCACTAGAACCTTCTGCCCAACTTGGAAGACCCGCTGTCGGGCACCCCGATCGTACCACCTCTTCTGTCTCCCCTGGGCCGCCTGGAGATTCTCCCTTACCATCAGGGACAGTTTCTCCATGCGGTCCCAGAGTTCCAGGACATATGGTACTATGGGGGTTCCCTCTTGCTCTGTCTCCCCCTCCCAGTGTCCTCGAATGAGATCCAGGGTTCCGCGGCCCCTTCTCCAATAGAGTAACTCAAAGGGAGAGAACCCAGTAGATTCTTGGGGCACCTCTCTGTATGCAAATAGCAGATGAGGCAGGAATCGCTCCCAGTCTCTGCAAGTGTCAGTAAAAGTCCTCAACATCTCTTTGAGGGTACCATTAAATCGCTCGCAGAGACCATTAGTCTGTGGATGATAAGGTGAGCTAAGCAGCGGTTTAATGCCGCACACCTTCCACAGCTGCTGGGTAAGCACAGCGGTGAACTGGGTTCCCTGGTCGGAGAGGATCTCCTGAGGGAACCCGACCCTAGTGAAAATTTTAACCAGGGCATTAGCAACCGTCTCTGCCTCTATATTAGACAGCGCTACTGCCTCTGGATAACGTGTGGCATAGTCCACCATGGTGAGAATATACTTCTTACCGGATGGACTAGCCCTGGCCAGTGGACCCACAATGTCAACGGCTATGCGGGAAAAAGGTTCTCCAATGATAGGCATCGATTGGAGCCTAGCCTTTGGGTGATCTCCCTGTTTACCTACCCGTTGACACGTGTTACACGTGCTACAATAAACCCGCACATCCCGGTTAAAATTAGGCCAGAAAAAGTTTTGGGTGATTCTATGAGCTGTGCGGCGGGAGCCTAAATGGCCCGCTAATGGCACATCATGCCCAATCCACAGAATCTCTTGCCAGTATTTTGCAGGCACCACTAGCTGTCGATTCTGCGGAGGGGTACTCGGTTTCTGGGACGGTTTCGGGATCCTGTACAGCCTATCCCCCACCCACTCTTAATGCTCCCCATCCACCCCTTCTCCCCCAGAATCGGCCCTGGTTCGGTACTTCGCTAGCGTCGGGTCTTCCCTGGTTTCCTTCCCGTACATTTCTGGGGTACCCCAGCCTAAAGGGGCCTGGTCTAAGGTACAAGTCGGGGTAGAGAGTTTTACCTGGGTCTCAGCAGCAGGTGGGCCGGTCTCGGCGGCACGGGTCTGGGCACGGGTCATGACAGCCGCCACTTCAGCGGGACCCATGGGAGCAAAGGCTGAAACAAGGGGTGCTAAGTCGTTGCCAAGGAGGACATCTGCTGGTAAGTCCTTCATGACCCCCACATTCACGTGTCTAGCACCCACTCCCCAGTCCAAATGTACCTGGGCAACGGGTAGGCGAAACACGGCACCTCGGCTACTCGCACTGCTACCGTGTCTCCAGTATGTTGGGCTTCAGACACCAGGTGCTTCTGAAGCAATGTCATGCTTGCACCGGTATCCCGTAGACTACTGACCTCCTTCCCGTTGACCTTGACACATTGCCGGTGGTGCTGTCTGTTATCCCGGTGAGCAGCTTGGACCGGGTCTGCCTCATGCAGGATGCCCCAGCATTCCTCTTCCTCTACACAGTGAGCAGCCGGGAGAGGTGGATTCCGCAGAACATATACAGGCTATATGAAAAATAATTACTGTATAATGTGTCCCCTGTTGTATAGTTTAAAACTACTGAACAATGTCTTCGTGCACCAAATACTGGCAAGATGGCACCGTGTAGAAAAGTCCAAACAGTGTCGGTGAGTTAAAATGGCCGCCATCCATTGTTCTCACCATGTGCTTCATCTATTGTTCTCACCATGTGCCTCTGATACATGAAATGGTGGCCACCCAGTAACTCCACAGTATGTCCCCAGATGGTTCTTAAAGGGCCAGCAGCAGCATAATAAAATTCAATATGCCCAAATACTGTATTTAAATGACCAAATCTCCCAGGGGCCATAGTCAGCAGGCAGGAGGCGGGCAAACAGGCTTCTCCAATGCCCGGTGGCGAGGTTGGTTTCGCCACACTGAGCCTCACTGGGATCTTAAGTGGAGATAACCTGTGAAAGACCAGCTCTCCACTACAATAGTCTACAACAGTTAAAATATATTTCTTGCCAGAAGGGCTAGGTTTCTGAAGTGGGCCTATTAAATCCACTGCTACTCTACTAAAAGGTTCTTCAATTATGGGTAGCGGGTGCAGTTTTGCCTTCCTTTGGGTCAGGCGGTACCTGGTGCGACTGACCCCCAAATGTCCGGATAACGGAATATTGTGTGCTATCTGGAGCAACTCCGCTCGGTACCGCTGCGGCACCACTAGCATGCCTCATAACAATTGGGTCTGACCCGGCTATCTGTTTGTCTGACTCCCTGTATAAGAGCTGCTTATCCCAGATAAATCTCTCGCCCTCACCCCCGAGTTGATCAGATGCGACCTTGTCCCTTTATATTTGTAAGGTAGGGTCAGTGATCACCTCTGCTGCAAATTCATTAGGGGGGCCCAGGGGACACAGTCTAAGCAAGGGGAAGGATCTCTTACCTGAACCTCCGGTAGTGGTTCTGGGTGCGGGCCTGTTGTCTGGTGACCACGGGATGAGCTTCTCCTGTGGTTGGGGCCTGTGGCTCAAAAGCAGAAGTGAGCCTTCCCAGATCATTCCCTAGCAAAACCTCCATGGGCAATTGTGGCATCAACCCCACTTCCACATTCCCTGACCCCGCTCCCCAATGTAGGTAGCCGGTAAACTGCTCCCTTGGCTACCCTGATGGCCATAGTCCTGCTGATCTTGGCTTTGTCGGATACTAGGTAGCTTTTGACAAGAGTTATGGTGGCTCCTGATTCGCAGAGTCATTGTACAGCTTTGCCCTCCAGGTAGACTGTTTGTCTGTGATGCTGGCGGTTATCTGCATTTGCCTGTAAATTCGTGCAGCACTTCCTACTGTTCCGCGGTGGTGAGTGGAACTGCAGAGCCATAGGGTGTTGTGATCTCGTCCTGGTAATAGTGGGCTGCTGCTCTCGGTGTTGGTGGTGGTCCTGGTCGGATCCAGGTGGATCGGTCTCGGAGTTGGGGACATTTTCGCTTGTAGTGTCCCCACCTCTGGCAGTGGTGACTTTGACAGACCCATCTGTATGGACTAAAAGCCCTCT